CTGGCCCCCTGCCACCTCGCCAGCACACCCTTCAAAGGGAAGCCCCGCAGGCAGCAGAGCTCATCACGGAAGGACGTCATTCCACCACGAGCTGCCCAGGACACCTCACCTTCCTGGGGAAACACCCTCCTCCCGGCCCTCCCGGCAGGCGAGCCTCTGGAAGGTGGCCAGCCATGGTGCAGAGCCCTGCCTAATGTTTAAACCTCCATGCCTGCCCTCACAAACCCTTGTGAAGTCCTTTCCAGATCCCTAGGGGTTTGCAGGGAGCAGATGAAGCCCACTCCTGGCAAGCCCTGGGTGGGCTGTCCCTCTGCAAGGCAGCGGTACGGCTCGTGCAGTCGCTTTCCCCCCATCACCATCCCCTCCAAGCCACTGGAGGTTTTCCAGGCGCTCTCTGAACCACAGATATCTTCTGCCTACATTACCGTTCCCCATCAAATGGCCACGGTCAAGGTCCTGCCCCGCACCCTGGAGGAGCAGGAGCACCCTCACCCAACCCAGCCTGTTAAAAGGAGCTTTTACGTCCTGCTCCTTAATCCTGTTTCTGGAACGAGACTGTGTTTTAAAAATCAGGGGAGGTTGCTAAGGGACAGTGTGCTCAGCAGGGACATCGCTCGCAAACCCTCAGCACTCAAAAGCGGGAGGTAAATAACTTGAGATATTATTAATCCTTCGCTGCCCACACAATAAACAGAAATGTATTATTCTTGTCAAGGACAAAGGAGCCCATATTTCCCTGCAGCCGAGGAGTTGAACCAGCAAATCTTTTGGATTCAGCTCCATGGCGGGTTCAGCTGCGACTGAAGTTGTTCCAGTTCAGTTCCTGTTCAGGCCCATAATGGTTCATTAACCATTTGTTAACCCTGAACTCATTTCAGCTAGTTTAAGCTGGAAAACGCAGCCCGTACAAGTGACTGTGTGATGGGAAACTGAGCCATTTTCACCCCATCTCTGGTTTCCAAGGCCTCTGCTCCTGTCCCAGTTGGACACCAGAGCTTCTTGCCAGCTCGCCAGAGCTGACACACAAGGCCAAAGGGCAGAAAAGCTAAATATTGCCCCAGGAGCGTGTAGGAAACCCGTGCTGTGAGGGACGAGCAGGGGTGTGGGGGAACTGAGCCTCTCTGGCTCTCCCTCCCTGAAACCGGCACCTGCACACATGCAGCTCAAGGCAGCGGCTCCCAAACCACCAGGAGCACCGGAGGACGACGTCTTCCCGTTGTGACGTTCAGAAATTGAAATGCTCCGTCCATTAAATACCCTTTAATGGCCCACAACCCAACTCTGGGACCAGCCAGGTGTTATTTAACAGGAAAACTCCTCCAACAACAGGCTGTGGCCCCGGGAGGAGACGGGGTCCCATGTCGGCCACATAGCAGCACGTTGAGCTGCCACTTCTCCCTGCAGGAAAGCACGCAGAGGGGAGGGGTGTGAAAGGACCGGCCGTCCTGCTGTCCCCTGCACATGGATGTTCCTAGGGAGCGCCTGGCATGGCTTTGTCTATGATGGCACTTCCAAAAATAACACCCCTGGACCAGTGGCGAGGCAAGGGGGGTGTTGGGGCTCGGCACCCAGTTGCTCTGCCAGTTTGCATCCAGCTCGCTGCACGCTAGCATGGTCAGAAGAAGAGATCTCAGTTATATTTATCGTTTGACAGTACCGGTCCCTGCTATTTTTAGAGCAGCATTGCAGCTGCGGCTCGCTGAGGGGTGAGGTGAGTCGGCTGGAGGGCTGGTTTTTACCAAGTTTCACCCCAAATTACTGAAGTCAAGGCCTCTCAGGGCCCATGGTCAGGCTGGGCTGCTGCCCCTCAGGGTGGTGGGTCCTGCCCGGGTCCCTGCCGGTGGGAGGCAGAGCCCCCGGTGCCCCAGCTCAGGGCTCCGGTACCGCTCAGCAGCCATTTCCCGGGGCAGGAGCCCCCACGGGGCCCGCCCCCACAGCCAGCCACGGGGCCG